TAATTAATTTATTTATTTATTTAATTCTATGGGAATGCATGTTTAAATTTTTACAGACATTATAACCAAATGTGTTAAAGTAATATATATATAATATATATATATATATATATATATCACAATTTATTTAAGATTCTTTAAGATTAATTCCCCTACAGGGTTGATTCTCTCAGATATGTAGCGACAACCGGTTGAAAAGTAATGACAACGACCGTGAAATAAAATGGTATTTGTGATCATGAATTGCGAATTGCGATCACACATTTCAGGACAGCGATGACTAAGGTTTTGATTTACCTGAAAAATACTCATAATACAGCGAACGCTTCGGTTATATTTTTAAGAGAACAATCTGATGACGTTTTTTTGGAAACCAGATAGCAAACTTGGGCACCAAAAGCGACGTTCGGTTTTAATAGAACAATGCTACATTGGGCGGAGCGCTCTGACGTAAGCAGTGCTTTCTCTCTTAAATCTATTTCGAAGCCGTATTGGACAACAGGCAGAATACAATGTATTCTGATAACAGAATGGCTTGTACTTACTTCACGAAGAGCAAAAATTCTCTAGAACGTGAAAACAAAAGACTTATTCCGTGCCGGAACAATCTGATAATTGAATTCAAGATACAATTTCTTTTGTTCTTTGAGGAATATTCAACGAATTCGGAAATATTTTGAGTTAACAATAACAAGTGTATACTTAATAATACACTCCCATTGTTCTACATTGAAATCATATCATCGCATTAAAATTCATACACACATTTTCAATGTATTTATTTGAAAAAGGACATTCTCTGAAACGTCAAAAGCATTGAATTATTCAAATGAAATCATACAAACGATTGATTATAACTTGCCGAGCGCATTTTAATTTCACATATTTCTGGAAACGATTGGCTAAATCTACAATTTTTAATGTGCTTACGTTATATAGTGTACTGTGGAGACGATGTTTGGTGGATTATTACAAAAGTTTCACAAAACCACAATAAAGTAAAAGTGTTATCTCAAAATGTATCTAAATCCAGCATCAATAATAAATCAACGCCGACCATTGGAAGAAAAACAAGTCGCGTGCACAACGGTTCAATGTTTGGGAAGTACAGCGGGTCGGATTGACCGCATTGCTCCCCTCCTACTCACCCATTTCGACGTCAAAACGATGACGCATTTTTCTTCGTCGCAGTGACGCCAGCAGTGTGGTTTTCACAAAAAAAAGCAACAAAAAACAGCGCCGTCACTGATATTTTCGCAGCCTTTGTACTCGGGCCTTGAAACTTCAATCAGGAGAGAGGCTATGACGCAAAGGGACGCATAGAAAGCGAAGCTCCGCCCTCTCGTCCCATGCCTCCCCTCCCCTCCCCTCCCACCCATCCCCGCGAGGAAGCGCTGCCGTCGCCGCCGTCGCCGCCACTGCCTCTCCGGGAGCGCACTGCGAGGGCGGAACGGCGGGAGTGCATTACGATTAAAGTCCCGCTCCTATTTTGTCATTCCTCTGGCGCTGTGGGCAAAGCTTGCTACATTCAATATCTAACTAACCGCAGGCCAAGAAAATCAATTCTGCGGGTATCTCTGACCAAATAGGCGTTGCAAAGAGCGTACATATTACTCCAAGCGGACTAGCTTTTTCGGACGGATTTTCCTTTTAAAGGAAGGCAGAAAGTTGATGCGAAGGAATGCATAGCAAAAGGTGATATTTTCCGTATTGTGTCGAAATTACGTTCATAGCAAATAAGGAAGGGACAAAGTAAAATTATTGCAGTTACATTTTCGAAATTTTGAATGTTTAAAGAGAAATTATACGTTACTCATGTAATAGTTTTAAAGGCAACCTAATAATTTTTAGAAGACAATTTAATTTCTAACTCATTTGAACTGCGAAATTTCAACTTGAATTCCCACTGAACATAAGTAAAAAAAACTTGAAATTAGAACGTATTGATATACGACATAGTCACAATGAAAAACATTTCTGGAAAATATACATCACATTTTTAGCATTTCAAAATCTAATACTTTTCTATATGAAACTGACAATTTAATTGAAACTACTGCAGATGTGTATTAAAACATTTTTTTAAACATGTGCTTTTCTTACATTTTATGTATGTGACAAGAAGTATGTAAGTACAAGTTGTTGAAAGAGATTGCTGCTTTTTGTGTTGTGGGAGTAACGAGTCCGACGTTCCCTGGACGCTGAAGACGGCGCTAGGGAAGTCGGGCTTCCCAAATGGACAGCCGCCTCCGGGAGTCGCCTCCGCCGCCAGCGGGCCTCTGAGCTTAAGCGCGGCGGCAGAGAGCATCCCGTAGTGCGCTCAACCCCTTGTAAGTATCCCCTCTCTACGCAGAACACGCTGAGAAAATAGGACGGATTTTACCGTTGAGAATAAAACTTCGACACCCGAAGTCCCAGATCTGTGCTACTGCTGGGTAAAGAAATACCCCCTTCGCAAGCACGACCGAACAGGCACACAAACTTCAGTACAACAATTCAGTGGCTTCGCACAGTGTGAGAAAAGGCGGAATAACATGGAATAATAGCGTTTTTTCTCAAAACCTGAAATGTTTCATTGTTTTTGAACATTTATTTTCCGAGATGAAGGGTATTGAGCAAAAACATAGACACCTCTCGTATAACCGGAAGCTCCACACTTTTATTTCAACTTATGTGCAATTATATAGTGATACATAGGGGGAAATGTCCACATGCAATCAACAGCACACGCTACGCTACAACACACTTACACTTTACCATCGCGCATGACTGTGAAAAGAAAACCAGACAATCGTATCGAAGGGAAACGAACGTCTCTTGTGCCGTAATCTACAAAATGAGACCTCTTTGAATGCCTTCTTGCATTATTGGACGGTATATCTTCACCGTAGAACGGATTCCGAGAAACTTCCGAATTTTAATTGAGGATGAAGTTGTTTTTTCTTAAAAAAAACAATGATTTAAAAAGTGTTTAAGTTCCTCACGAGTCTAGCTAATTTCTTGTTAATTTTAACCGCGCAATTTCTTTTTCGATAATTTATTTTATTGTATGTACTGCGAATTCGGGGCTAAGTTCATGCCTGCCAAATCTAATGAACGATAAAATAGAAAAAGATTAAATTTATAACTTGAAATCATGCACAGTTTATTTTTAACTTTTAGTTTTTTGTACACATGAATGAAGAAAGTGAGTTAAATTTTGAATGTGTGGACATTAAGTGAATGTTTAAACGAAGATTTAAACCAGCGGAATTAGTTCTGCCTTTTTTTCAAGTGCTACTTATCACATAATTTCTACAGTTAGAATTATTTTGAGTTTTGTTGTTTCTTCGCTCGTTTAAACCAAACCTACAAACAGCGCATTGAATATTTGGCGGTAATTTTTGACAATGTGGCGAGACGTCGAACATGCACGTGAGGAAACAGGAAAGTCAGAATGGTGTATTACCCCTAGACAATATTCATTAGTTTTAATGGAACGATTTGATTTACAAAATGGTTTTCAATTTAATAATAAAAAAAACAGTATTTATTATAAAAGCAATTCGCCACTATATGTAAAACAAACGTACGCTTAAGTGTCTGAATACTAGTACTGAATGGTGAGTGCAACCCTCTTCTTAATAACTTAGATATCGTTCATTATTCGCTATGCAAATTGATATTTTCCATCCATTTTTAGCACATTGTTTAATGTAATGTTTAAAATAAAAATCTGGGAACAACGTTTAGTAAATTATCAAGCGCCATTTTTCATGTTTCTGTGATAGCTTGAATCCAGCTAAGGGTACTGCATTTATGAAGCATTAAGATCGCTGACCCTCAGATCGTTATAAATGGAAACTTACTTTACTGTACATACGGTGAGTAATACCAGTAAAAATAAGAGTAATAAAAACACAACAATGCATTGGCGTTATTACTACTAAGGAATTCGGAGAGTTCGTACAGAAGCTGTTTTTCCATCCTTTTCGAATTTAACACACACATCATTACAATCAGTAATACTTCTGTTTATTATATTATTACGATTATTATTATTATTATTATTATTATTATTATTATTATTATTATTATTGTAGTTGATCTTAGTAAAACAGCAAATCGCACCTTCAATATATTTTATAAATACCAATGATTTTCCTTCTCGTGGGATTTTTGGAAATGTATGATGTGAATTTTACACTGCAAATAGGCACTTACTTTTAATATTTTTTTAAAAATAATAAAACTATTTTTTCTTTTCCCAAGAAGTATTAATTCGTTTTTTTACTTAAATTTTTCTGTTCAGTTCCTCGATTTACAATTTCGTCTAAAACTTACATTCATAAATTGTTAGAAATCATTCGTTTCAGAGATTTCCATAATATTTTTACTAAGAAGGTGACTTTAATGATGGGCGTTAAGTAATTTTCTCTTCATTATTAACAATCTTAAAGATTTCTTTCCACGTGAATGCGGCACAGTGGTAGTATTATTATTAATAATATTGTTGTTAATTTAATTACTATAATATTGCTTGACGGAAGACATTACACATCTGTAGAAATGAATATTTAAAGGCAAAGTTTGAGACGTTCAAGTGTTTCAATGTTGTTTCACATAATTGAAAATAATATCAAATACCTCCCGTGCTACGGCAAACAAGATCACATTATAAAGTTAAGGAGGTTTCATTTCACCAAAAGCACACTATTTACATCCATTAAAATGAATTAGTAAAACAAATTTTCAATTTTTGTATTTAACAATTAAGTAATTAAGTTTTGTGGATAGAACTAGACTACAGGGCAAATATTACGTCACATTCTCAAACACCATTAGTGATGCGGTTTAACATCCAACAACTTAAAGCACTGCACACACCGACTCATCGACGTGGACCAAAAAACAGGCAAGGGTACTCACCCGGCGAAGACGCTGCTCGCCTTCTCCCGGATGGCGCTGAGCGCGCCGAAGCCCGGCATGATGGCGGCTGCTTGGTGGGTCTTACGAGTGCGTCAGACACGGCCGAGACGGCGGCGGTCGCGACGGCGGCGGCGGTGGCGGCGGCGGCGGCTGAGGCGGAGGCGGAGGCGGAGGCGAGGACGAAGAAAACCGCGCGAACCGGCGCTGAGCGGAGCGGAGGGCACTAGATGTACCCGGCGACGGCCCCCTTCCGCATCACACGACGGCAGACGGGTACAAGCGAGGGCTGGGAGCCGGCATCTGCGAACACAGCGCCGCGACGGGCCGCGTCAGCGCTGGGCGCGGGCAGCGCCCTAGGGGTGCTGCGCTCGGCGCGTCTGGGCGGCCAGTCAACGCCGCCTTTATTTCATTTCATTTCTTCTCGTCAACGAACAGCAAAAAAGAACTATGTGACGTACGGAGGAGAAGAAGAATCTGCGCGCGTTTTCTTGAGCTTTGCATCACTTCCCCACTCTTTTACTACGTATAGTTGAATGATGAATAAATGTACTAACAAAGCGAGTTTAGCAGCGTGTGAAAAACGGATATTTTCGCTCGCGATTTATAGAGGACTTATGCAAATAAGTTCGCTCAAAAGTACTCTCATTCAATTGAGAGACAGCGAAATTAGACAAAGTATTTGAAAAAATAATAATTGCTCAGTGTTTTCGTTAATATCATGCATTTCCGAAATGAATATTTTACGTTAACTATTAAAAACTGCGCGATGCACTACAGTGCCATTTACTTTCGAATACTTCAGCAATTGAAACATTTCAGCAATACGCTGAAAACTAAACCTAAGGACACGTTCTTGTAATACACTCACGTATACCATATTCCGACACGTGCGCGAACAAACGTCAGGGTGAATTTGAGTTCCGTTTATAAGATACTACATATTAAGCAAAAACGTCACAACAATTGATTCAAATTCTTTCCAAAGCAAGAAATATGAAAAGGCCAATCATATGAAAATATTCACCTTCAGTTTCAATGTAACTCAGAGCTTTGAATTTCTGTAGTGGGAATTATTAATAATAACACAAAAGAAGGCAGCTAGTTTCTACTTGCGAGGATAATCATCAAGAAACAGAACAATGCTAGCGATGACGGTGACAAGAATTTTGACAGGGGACAACGAAAAGAAATTTCGACATTTTTAGTATCGTCAATCTATTTCTAAATTTTGTGTAAAAGATATTTCACGTAATTTAATTATTTAAAGCACGAGTTTCATCTTAGAAAATGCTACCGCTGCTTTTTCTCAGGAAAATAAAATGCGAGACGTATGCGGTTGCATGTTATGCAGCCATAACCATCGACTTCTGGTTGTCGGTGCCGCGTGTTTCACAGGTAAGCTGTTTCAACCATCACTTCAGGGGTTTCCTTAGGGGCAGTATGCTGGTCTACAAAGAACACGCCAAAGCAAGGGTCCAGATGACCAGACAGCAACGCGCTTACTTCCGGGTATCCATGGATATTTTTTTCTACTTTGTACATTGTTTCTGTAATTTATACTACATAAACATGTACACAATAAAAATAAGGACATAGAGCCAAACAAAGCCTGCACAAAATCATCGTAAACTCGATTTTAATGGTTAAGATCAATAGATTGACGTTATAGCAAATTATTGACTTAAAACGGACAAGCTTTCAAAACAACTTCTGTCTCAATATTCTTGTCGTTAAAATGGTTTTCTTAAAACAAACCTCCCTTTCTCGAAGCCGAGGAGAGGTGCGTCGAGAAAAAGTCATGATGACATTTAGAAGTAAGCTTGGAAATTAATATTTCCATTATCGATTTAATATATCTTTGTTTTAGGGAAATATTAACGATGAAAACCAACCTTCATAAATGGTACGAGCAAGAATAATGATTCCACATCTCACTACAACATTGAAATACAAATTGATCTGCCAACGTTGGAATACAAATTTTCAATTCACATGCGACTTTTCTCACGAACTAATTATATAATTTTACAAATTTGACTAAACATGTTCATCTTCTTGAAATTCTTCATACCAAATACAAAGAATGCTGTTCCTTCTTGTAAAATCAATATACAGATATTATAAAAAAATATGTTTGAAAAACAGCATCTCTCTTCATTTCGTTCTTTCTTTCGCTTTCCTCCCAACCAAGAGCTTTCGAGCTTCTCTCTTCGGGTTGACAGAGTACAATGGCTTGATCTTCCTACCACCGCGGGTAACTTCATGGGCTCAATGCGCAGCGCGTTTGATGGCTCCCAAATCCTTGCTCTAAAGCTTATCGAGGCTTTGCACCGCACTAACTTGGCGCGGGGATTGTGTTATGGCTGGGTACTTTAAAGAAAGCTCTTCCCGTCGTTTACGTGAAGACTTACAAGCTTATGGCTCAGTTCAACGATTTATTCTAAGTGTCGCATTTCTACCCACCACGTCGTTTTACTTCCTCTGGGAATAAAGAACAAATGTGCCGAAAAATTCCATGACGACTAAATTTTTGTAGCATACTTTTTGTTTTTGTGCTAATCAGTTCAACCAGCCAACAAAGTAGAGAAAAATGAATTGCCACATATTACACTTGAAAACGTTGTGAGAAAAAAGTGCAAACATTTTATGTCAATTTTGGAATGACGCATTGCGTAGTGTCAGTGTTTGAAATTTATTGCGCAGGGTATAAACGTTTTGTTCAGTACACACAATGCGAATTTACTGTTTCTGACAAATACTCGTTGTTTCATATTAAGTATTGAACAATATTAGCAAAACAAATAATAACAAAATTTAGAAATAATTCATTTGAAAATGGTCTGTATTTAACCACGTAAAAGATCACTGACCCACTTCTCATTAGTGTACTTGTAGAATAGGTGTGTTAGACTATTGAATCTTTCAAGGAAAGGAAATAACAATCCTTTATAAAAAACAGAAAAACGGAAAAGTGCAAAATTATGCATAAAAAGGCAAATAAAAATAAATATCAGAAAAAAATGATTGAATCTGGCGGTTCTGCAATATCATAGAATTTCTTGCTTTATTTGTACCTTATGCAATTTTTGAAAATTCACTGTTAAATGCCACAAACGTTCCATCCGTGTTTGAGAAAACTATTGCCTATACAAGAAGCAAAGATTACGCCAAAAATAGTCGTTCTCTTAATATACATAACCTTATATAATGATCTAACTTTTTAGTACAGATTTCATTAAGGAAATAATCTCTATCTCTATATAGTGCTATTTTACATGCTAATTTTCTCAATTAAATATGTAAAGAGTTTACTCGACATAGAACGTGCACAAATTATATACGTTTAAAGTGATCTGTTTGAGAAAACATTGAAGATAAACATTTGAGCCGTTTTTAAGAAAATCGGTTTTTTAAATTGCCTATATTTAAGGAATAACTGGACCCGAAAAACTCAAATTTATGGAAATATTTGCATGATTTTATTTGAAGATCTGTTTTTAAAGATAATATTTCACCACTGAAAAACTTTGTCTTCAATATTGTAGTTGTAGAAGACGCCGGAAAAATTGTGAAAGTTTGCAATTTTCGAAAATATATCGATTGCCACAAAGATGAGAACTGTATATGGTTTAAGTGTTCTTTGCTCTATTGAAGGGGGGATAGTCAAAATAATATGGAGTATTTTTGAGAAAATTTTGTTAACACTTCATGTAAAGTATCCTCTAATATCAAAATACGCTTTTTAAATTCGAATGCCTCAACTTCGGCCAGATCAATTGTGGAAAGTAATAACGGAGAAAAATCATCCGTTTAGGTGCTAGCGTTGACCACGGACGGATAGACAGACGTTTTCCCGCAAACTATTCTTTTCGGTAAAACGAACTGACAAGTGACTAAAATACGTTTAAGACGAAGTAACTGAATACCTATAGGAGCAAAATTTTTTTACATCTTCAATATCAGGGCCTCACAATACTAGTTTTTCTGTGAAAAAATCACTGATTTCCACCAACGTATTTCCATACTTCATATTTTCCTCGTAAGAAACTAGTAGGCTTCCAAGAAAAACGTGAATATAATTATTTATTATACCCAAAAATAGTGTATATTTGAAATCAGATTGATTGTATAGAAACACTTCCATCTATTTGTAATATCTACAAAACTGATGACAAAACTATGATCTGTCGAACACTTTTAGCAGCTCAACAAAACACTTAGGGGATACCGTATGAAGGCTTGTGAGATTTCTCACAATAAAATTTCAGGTTCTCGTTGCTTTCGTTAGTACCTTTGAAACTGACGCATACACAATTATGGATAGGGTGTTAATTTGGTTAGTGCGAGGTTGTTAATTGAAATAGAAAATACTTATCAAAATTCAAATATCAATACACGTTTTGTTAGTTTTTGCTTCAAATAATCTCGAGCTTTTAAAAATTTTATTATTATTTTTATTATTTTTATTATTATTATTATTATTATTATTATTATTATTATTATTATTATTATTATTATTATTGTTATTATGTTTTTAAAAACTTTTATTCATCTTTTAACTGTTTATAGTTAAAATAATGGGAAGGGATTCACAAATTTCAAATACAGTTTTTACTGTTTTTGACTAAATAAATACTAAATACTAAACTCACAAAATTGCTTCTGTAAATATAGAAAAAAATTGAACTCTCAATACTCAGAAAACTATTCAAAAAATCTTTGACAAAATGTAAAAAATATATTTTTATTGGATTTCACTACAGCGATCCTTAAGTCTGAAATATAAAAATGTCTTATTCAAACTAAAAAATGAAGTTATGACAAATATTTTTTGAGGATTAGAATTATATATTTCATTCTTAGAGTCTAAGGGTAGAAAACAAAAAATCTTTTTTGCCAATATGTCTCAGCATTTCGAGAACACATATGTTAAAAATTGTTATTAATTTAGAAATATGAGTATAGATTTTTATGTTTTAACAAGTTCGTAAAAGTTATATATTTACGATTATGCTTAAAATAATAATGGAGGTTCTTACATTCATAAATATTGAGTTTAATATCGAAACAGTATTTAGTAGTCACCTCACTTTCTTCAAGTTTATTAGTTTTTTACGACATTTCAATGATATTCACCAGTCATTTCAAGGGGGGCTAAATACTAGCTGAATTAGATATTTGGAACGGCAGACATAAAATGGTAAGTTCTTCAGGATGCCGAACTAAAAACAAAGAAACCACAATAGTAGAAAGTAATATTTTTCCACTAAATTTCATGAATTTAGACATGCATTTTCAATGAAACCTACATAATTTTGTTTCATACTCTACAATGAAATGTATTCACGTAAAGAAATGGGAAAACTGAAAAGCGAAAGCAGAATCCAACGCTTTTAGACCGGCGATTTCTATTAAACCTGCATAATTTCGATAGATACTCAACATTAAAATGTAAGAACGAAAAGAAAGGGCAAAGTATAACAATATATCATTACCACAATGGTTTTAGACCGGTGTTATCTATCAAACCTGCATCATCTTGATTGATACTCAACATTGGAATGTAATTACGTAAAGAAACAGGAAAGTGAAACGCAAAAGCTGAATCACAATGGTTCTAGACCGGTGTTATCAATCGAACGTGCATCATCTTGATTCATACACAACATTGAAATATAACCGCTCAAATAACTGGGAAAATGAAACGCAAACGGATCACAATGAGAATATTTGCGGCGCGTCGCTCAGCGCGCGGAGCGGCGTGGGGCCACGGGGGCCTCGTGGGCGGCGATTCGTGGAGCCAGCGCGGCGGCGTTCCTGGAAATCCCAGCGGGCGAGCCGCGGGCCACCAATGCATGCGGTTACTCCCGACGCCGCAGCCCTCTGCGAGTTCGTTGAACAATTAATCCTTTTTGGTTAATTTTGCATGGCAGCAAGCGCGATCTATTTGCCAAACGAGTTTCGTAAAATACAAAATTGGAAACCCAATAACAGTTAAAGAATGAATGTTAGTACGTTCAACCAAAAATTTGGATGTAACGTACTCCCGTGCCCTTCATGAAACGTACGTATATTCTGTACTGGGTACGTTAAACATATATTGTTTTACGTTCGCAGTGCTAGGAATATTATGTTCAAACCATTGCCAATCAGGATGACTAATTTCTTTCGCATTGCAATATCTCCAGGGGAATGGTAAATTTGACACTTTTTAATAATTATATGAAAACATATTCCACCAGCGTAGCCAGTTTTAGACCTCGACATATCTACTTTGCGCAGTTGGGGCTCTTAAATACTTGAACGTTTATAACTGCTGAATCCGAGTTACATGATAAACGAAAACGATCGGGTTGGATTGATTCCTTTCACATGGTATGCAAATATTATTTCTTGATAAAAAGCATACCTTTGAAAATTAGGTATTTTTCAATCATTATTTATCATCGCAGCATGATGATAATTTTTTTTTACTTCGTACTACCAGGAGGGGGATATTTCACGTTTCTATTCATAATTTCTAAGCATTTTACTTTTTCTAAACTTTAATTTATTTATTTTCTAATTATAATCCATAATAAATATCAGCTACGGTTCGAATACTCGGTTCACAAAATAATACTCGTGATGAGTTGTCAAATTACGTTTTGCAAAAGAACGCTTAAAAAACCTACGACAGAGCTTGTGTGGCACGCGCTCCAGCTAAAGTCAGTCATGCGAGGAGGACTGAGACAGGAGAAATTAATTCTATTACTTCAAATGCATATATTTTGAATACTTTACAGACAAATTGGGAATTACTGGCTGCGGCCTCACTTGAAAATACAAGAAATGCAACAAAATGCGATAAATGTGAGACGTCGAATATTTAATATATTAATTGGGGGAAGCTTCAAAGTCAGTATGTCTACGGGAAAAATGAGTATCTATAATAAGATGTAACAGAAAAATGTCTAATAAAAGTGTGATCTACAGTTATATTAACTCTAATTATTAAACGTCCACAGCTAAAATGTCTACCAACTAAAAGGTCTACTAACTACAAAGTCTATCACCTAAAGGTCTACTAACTAAACGTATAACAGAAATGTCTAACGAGAATTCTGTTACATTTTTATATTTAATGTAATAATAAATTGAAAGTATATAACAATATGAAGTTATGAAGATGATCGTAACTGAATTTTCAAAAATTAATGGAATGGGAATCATCTTCCTAGAATTCATCATTTTCTGATGATATAACTGGCCTCAAGTCTTTCGTTTTATCTGTAAATTAGTTCGAACGAGAAATCGCAATACTGAAAGAGAAGGATTCTGAGTGAAGGCGGCCATTTCATTTACATTTCAAACGAAATTCTTTCACAAGGAATCGCAAATGTGAAGTAAATGAACAAGAAAAATGGGGTCCATCTTATTTCATTTTGGAGGGAAATTTCTCTCGCAGGAATTGAAAAATTCCGTCGAGAATTTGCTAATTAATTATCGAGCGACGTCGAAGTCTCAGGGGCTCGGGTTGGTGGGTCATGAAAAAGATGGCGTCGCAGGTAGCTTTCGAGGCAATTAACTGTGCTCTGAACTAACGGTTTATATTGATCTAAATGCCAAAAATGAGTTATATCATCGCTTTCTGTTACCTTCCACCATTACAGTCTAGCAATAATTCAGTTTACAAAGATGAATTTGTCTAATGAACTAATCATCTCGAAAATATAAAATTACACATTTTTCTGCATGAAGAAAATAAATCTGCTCAGGCTAGTGTACATTTAAATAAAATACTACCGAAATGAAAATAAAGAATAATATCAAATAAATATTTGAATGAAAGAGCCCCTACGATTAATACATTCATCAATTGAAACATACATATAACGTATCCTTTTCAACTTAGAGAATGACTTAATACGATTTTGGACTGAATATTGAAATGGAAATTAATTAATCAATTTGAAACTCTTTTTTGAAAAATGATCACAGTGTGTGGGTCAGCAATTTTGTTGCAAGATACATCGGGTAAAATAGGCAATTCTAGGAAGGTCGCGAATCACGTTTGTTGCTGAAAGTTAATGACAAAAATGGATAGAAACATCTGATAAAAATGAGCGCAGACAATAAAATTTGAAAAGGGAGTAAGTAAATTCTGAACAAATTTTCAGAATATTTCTAAAATTGAATTGACCATATTCAATATTTGCATTGTATTTCTTACAAAAAGCAAATTGTGATACGAACGCATTTTTTAACTAAAACCCCTCATAGTTACCCTTGCAATAATAAAGAATTTCCAAAATATTGGTTGAATTCTGGTTAAAAGTACATGACACACCTGAACAGAATAATTTAAAATAATCGTTTTTGCGTTTTTGTACTAAAAGCATTTAAGGAGTACACAATTTTTGGTTCTTTGAAATTTATCTATTGAGCAGAACCTTCATGAGAATTCGATAAACAGTCAGTTGTGTGTAGCAACACTCCCTCATTCTTTTCAAGCTGTACAACCAGCAAAGGCGAGTATAAAAAGGGAACAGATAAAGGAATGCAAAAGATAAAAAAAATAATGTGGGAAGATAAAAAGGTGGGCGCCCAACTGAATATATTGGACCAGATATAAGAGAGCCTCAACGCCCGAAGGCTGAGCATTGCAAAGATAAACGACGGAATGTTGCTACGCCGTAAGGAGAGAAAAATCACCGGAGGCGAGGTAAAGTGTCGACAAATGTGGCGAGATCAGGAAAAAAAAAGTTGATAGAAGAGTTGAGAACAATTTTTTACGAAAATGAGAGTGGCAATAAATAACAAGCGGAAATGATGCGAGTCGAAGACGAGTCGAAGTGAGTCAAATATAGACATCACAAACGAGCGCTCCACGCTGACGCAAGACCATTCATAAGAGTCTAAATTGGAAGAGGTTGTGTTTCCCGGTGGGCGTGGACGAAAGAACGTGGACGTTTGTAACTGTTACAGGTAATATGCGGCCGTGTGTTTACAACGAACACCGTTGCCAGGCGGCCACGCGGGCCGGCACGACACCGCCTCCATTGCCGCCGGGTCGTCTCCAGGACGACGCCGGGCGACGTCACTCCCAAAACGTAAGAGGATTCGGCCCCGGTGATGACGTATGAGTGTGTACGCACGCCGCCACTGGCGATGGCGGATTAAAGGCGTCACATGCCCGATCGCCAGAAAGAAGACACACCTTTCTGGAAATTATTATAGACTGGCATGGAATGAAAGACATCACGTGGCATGATAAATTTCAATTTACACAACAGTTCATTCTCAGAACAGCGCACGTGTTAACTTTCGTTCTTGCCCTACTTTCCTCAATTCAAATCTACAATGGTGAAAATAATTTCAAATTACAGTTTGCCATTTTGCCAAATGAAACACAATGTAAAATGGCAATAAAACAGGAAGTTATCATGGATGGCGTATCATGTATTAGCCATTATATTAGAAATAGAAATGTCGAAACTTCAGTGACACAATGAAATATTAATAATACTTTGGTCAATCGCAATACACGTTTCCAAAAACACTCAAAGAACAACTCAAAGATAACAGCAATTACGAATAAAAAATAGATTTTCACTTTTACCAAATTAATAAGAAAAATATGCATTTCTTATTATCAAAGGACACATTTAAACAATTCAAATCCATGGAATATATACTTCACGTCAAATACCGTTGGGCACACGAGTAAGAATTATCAACAATGGAACGATTACAAGAAATTTCGTCAGTTGTCAATATAGTTAAAGCGTTAAATGACTTCCGTCCTGCGAAAGGTCATATATCCACGCACAACACCCGCACCGTGCCCAGCAGCCAGCAACCACGTGCTCGCGGCCTCAAGCACCGCCGCCACTGCCACCACCTCCGCCTCCACCGCCGCCGCGACGGCCTCCCGCATGTCCCCGACGAAGTGCGGGTTGCATCATCCGGAGTTGCTAGGGGCGCCCACATGCCCCGCACGCCGCGTGGAGCACGGCGTCGTGGAGGGCGTGCCAGCGCCCGTCACACGCGTGCGCAGCGGGGCGGCGAGCACGGCACGTCGGGGCTCGGTGCAGCGTGGGGGCGTGGTGGCGCGGCGCGGCACGGCCTCGGCCGAGAACGCCCTCGCGCTCTTCTCGCGTGTCGCTGGGCTTACCCTGTCAACGCCCCGCCGCCGTTTACGAAGTCCCTGGTCGGGGCTGCTGTGCGGCGCCGACCCGTCCAGAATGCGTCTACCGGGAGCCAACGACCGACCTCCCAGGCGGCGCGCCGCCGCCGCTGCCGCCGCCACCGCCGCCGCCGCTCACCCCACCCGCGTGCCCGAACCCCGCGCCGCGCCGGCGCGCCACCCGCGCCCTCCATTGGCTTGGGTGCATCGCCGCCCACCATTGGTCGGCGCGGGGGTGCCAAGGGCGCTACACAGTATCCAATAAACTGGGCGCTCCCATCGGTGCGTAGGCGGAGCCTTCGCTGTAGGCAACTCATAAAAAACCCGTCGGGAGTATTACGGGGCCCACGAAACAGAGAGGGTAGTAACAATCCGCTGCTCGGAGTTCGGAAGCCCGCTCGCGGACGGCCATCTTGGAAAAAAGGTGAATGTATATATTCCTTCTTTTACCGTTATCTGATAGGGGAATTCCACCCTGTGGGACGTTCTACTGCCCTGTTTTACTTGCTAGCCCTCCGATTTTATCTTCGCCCATCGCGAGGAAACTCCCCCTCCGCATATTTGTGGAGAATGTATTACGTAATATGTGTGACGTCATAAACACATTTAGGTCAAATTAAACACGACTGGGAAGTTTGTAAGACACTTGGATGAACACACAGTACTTACGTTTCTTTCAGGCGTGAACAATTCTAAGGCTAATATAAATACATGTAAATACAATGTAGCAAATTACAAATTATAAGTAAATAAATAATATTTCTGAAAAGGAAGAAAGAAAAACGAATATTGATATCAAACCTTCCATTTTAACGCTTCAACTGTATATTACGAAGGGCAATGGAGGAGTTTTGAATGATATAAAAATCAATGATTACGAAACAAAATAAGCAAAAGCAGTTATTTTCACACTGAACATGTATTTCGATATTAAAAGCATGCAAACGAAATATATTATATGAACGCTGTTATGTACATGAACTTACATTGAACATTACATTTAGTTTGAACACGCATATATAACAACAACAAAAACACCTTCAATTTTCCCTAATGAAATATAATACACCAAAACAATTTCTTGCAATAACATAGTTTATTAGTGCACTCCACATCAATTTATTAATATTAATTGCATTCCGGAAGGGAAAATATCCATAGAAGGAATTTAATACATTCATTTGACATCCAATACATCGATTTCTACACATCAACATACATATTTACCAAAACCATCAACAGATGAACGAATCGGCATATCTCTTTAGCGCATCATCTACGAGGATCGCGGAGGCACCCGATCTCCCCGTGCCCCATCTTGCCCGGGAAGTTGGAGACACTTGAGTCGCCCATATTGTACGAGGTCCCGTGTCACAGAGGAACCCTTTCGCGCGGCTAAGCCGCTTACCGAGTCATTCCCTCGTCCCCTATGCAGTACCATGCAGGTTCGTTACGGTCGATTGGACCTGAACTGCCTCTGCAAACGCCCCACGCCGCCACCGCCGCCACCGCCGCTGCGCGCACCGCCCCGTACGCTCTCCGCGCCACACCCCGGCGTCCAGGCACGCGCTCTACGTTCATCCCTTCCCCGCCACGGACGACCCCGCCCCGCCCCGCCACGCGTTACTCTCTACGCACCTTCGCGCTCGCTCGCTGTCGGGCCGGCACTGCGCTTCTGTTTATTTATTGCCGTTAAAAACAGTAAAAATCGTTTGCAGCGCTCGGATGTTCGAGAGCAAGAGCCCTACTCCATCTACCAGCGGCAAACGAAGGCTCAACTAGGCATTCCCACTAACGTATGTATACCAAAACAAGAATGGATGAAACAAGGGACAACTAACCTACCTCAAGTGATATGATATATTATCAATTAGTACTTTTATTTAGTTATTCCCGTTAAAATAGTGAAAAAACATTTCGGTGTTGTAATTTCCGAGTGAGAAAGCTGCTCTACTTACCAGAGGCAAACAAGGTCCATCACATTATCTCCAGACACTAATAGTAAACTGTATGAATAAAGCAGGAGAAACTAATTTCTCTGTGTTATAATGCATTACAAATCTGAAGTATATTGCTCGTATTTATTTATTTACGTTAAATAAAGTAAATGCAGTAAACGGCACAGGGATTTTTAAGAGGGAAAGCTCATCTATCTACCAAGTTTCGATCTCCGCAAACGGGAGTTTGATATCAACTTGCGGTAATCATTTTTTTCTTTTACTCCTTATTTACCAATAATTGAAATTAATTTTAATGTTTATTTGATTTCATTGTTTGGCAAAAAATAGTATATAAAAGCCAAAGACTGCAAAATATTTGCACATTTTTATTTTATTTATATTTTCTTACATTTAAATTGTACTTCACAAACGGTTTTAAATGAAATTGGATCAGTACGCTCATAATTTCCGTGTGTAGAGTCAACGCGTCTGTGATTCAGTTACTTCAAAAACAGTGGACTTGATACATTTAGTTCGTTAGACATGTATTATAAGGTTTATGAAAAAATATTAATTGTATTACATAAAAATGTGGAATGAAATATGCGAAACATTCTTAAATATTTTCAAAAGTATTGAGAATTCGAAATTATTCATGGTGAACTAAAACCAACAGTGAATCGGACAAATTCATAGCAAAGACACGAAGAACGTTTCGAATCTACCTTTGAAAGTGAGGTCAATTTAGTATCAATTTCCCATTGAAACCCGTTAAAATACGCCAAAAAATCACAATTTGCGAAGACAGTTAAAAATATTGAGAAATGAACAAAACTCTCCCAAAAGAGGCAGGAACGAAATACGTCCATCCTACCATCACCCTAAAATTCATTTCAAAAGTACACTGAAAATTGTTGTAGAACTAAAATATCATATGTAAATAAAACGTTTTGAGATACACTGAATAATGGGGACCTAGGGAGGTTGCCGTCTTAGACCGTAGTTAGTGTCTTAGACCTAAAGGTAAGGATGACAGGGAGTTAACCAATGCTCTAGACCGAAGGTGGTAATACCTCCCCAAAGGATTACTTGAATAATGGATGAAACAAGCTGGGGGATAATAACCTCTTATTATGGTCTATAGTCTATGAAAATAACTTACCACTGACATATAATTTACAACTAGAAATTCGTACAATATTCTTCTCAAGAGTAAAATCTCATTTGAGACATTCGAAGAGAGATATACAGTCTATTTACCAGTACATTTCAGCACTTTCCGAATAATTACGAAGAAACTGGATCAAAACAAATAGTTCTACAACAGTAAATAATTTTTCGTAATATTTGAGTTGGTTACGTAACATTATAGCAACTTGTGTTCTAATAGGTTAGTCATACGAATTAATGAGTTAAGCACTATGAGGGATATAGAGAAGTATACTCGACTGATAATTAATTAAATTATTGAATGAAATATTTAATTTTCTGGTACGTATGTCAATGATTTCATATTTCCCAACTATGTTAAGAATAGAAACTTCTGTTTTAAGAAAAATTACACCTGATTTTGTGGTTTATTATTCGTTTTGCTTTGCTATTTCGAATCATAGTAAGAATGGTTTCTTGTACAACAGCAATTCGTATCTCAAAAGACATTTTTAACAGATATATTTTTTATATTTCAATATCTTCAATAAACGTAAAATGTTTCGATGCATTTGTCTGCGTGCTTGATTGTCCAACGTATCATGGACATTAGCTATGCTTAAGTTTTTCTTTAGCGTTTACTAGAGACCCGCAGCTTGTCTAGATGCGAACTAGAAATAATCTTTCGGCAATATATCTGTCTTCATTTGGTGTATAACAGACAAATACAAATTGCGTGATTTAGGAAAGTACACGTGAACTTGGAATTAATAACATTACCTCTTAACAATATTATGACTAAGATAATTTACGAAATGATGGTTTAATGTCAATGATACTGCCCAAGAATCGTATCAAACAATTCAGTAAGTTTATCTACCACTAATCATGCTTTTCGGAATTCCACTTCTACTTGAACGCGCAATTCAAGAGAACATAGCGCATGTTAGAGCGTGTTCTTTCTGACGTAGTTACGGTACGTTGCTCCATGTAATCGATGTCCTATGTTATCGACTGGAGCTCGGTTAACATGCTAGGGCTGTAGCGTCACACCTCTACCCGATCATTTCTAGACCACTGTAATACGAGGTTAAGGAACCGGGAATTGTTGCTAATCTACAAAATGTTCTACAGATGGTTCAACAGCAATACTTGAGAGAGAACTTGCCAAGTAAGTTATTCTACGTACTCCATAATTCAATTTATTTTCTATGCACAGAAAGACATCAAATTCCAATTTCTTTATTTTTTTGTAATGGAATATGAGGAAAATAATTTCAACCAGTCACTCTACAATCAAGTAATTATGAACTTTCAAATTCTTACATTTGATCCAGTGTTCTATAGAAGAGATTTAGTCACGTCGAAAATAATACTACAAACGATTCAATTCTGTTACATTAATTAAAAATAGAATATATATTTTTCTAGACATTCACGTATCAATGAAAAATATAATAATAGTTTCAGGAATGATATTCTAGAGGAGGCATTTTCTATTGTTATTACTGTTGTTCCATGAAAGCAATTTGAGTTAAAAATTTGACATCGAGCTACATATTGCATCTAATATTAAAGGTTTCATAACTATAACCACCAAAATGCCAGTTTGTTTCTAATATATTGCAAGGGATTACGGGCCCCTTTTTTGTGTATACTGTTCAGTTCACTAGAAGCAAATCTACAGGTATGCTCTTATTTGACCACGTAGGTAATATATATTGCGGGGTTGTACGGTATAATCGTTTTTGCAAACTAAGCATTATACAAAGTGTCCAAGTAGATTGTGAAAATAATAAATAAGCATGCATAATTAGGCAGTATATGATATCTACCTACCAAGACGAAAACGTGTATAACCACGGAAGTACGCATACAATATTTCCCTTGTTTTACATAGCACGAAAAATCTCATTTACAGTTGCTGAAAGCCACACCCGCCTCACCACTATGCGACCTAACGCAATAGACCGCTCTCTAAGCTAAACTGATCCCCATCGAGCACGCACAAAGGTTCGGCGACTGAGCGAGCATGAGAGCAAGATATGTAAAGAGAGATATTAGAAGAAGAGGGGGGAATGTAGTAAAGGGAACAGAAACAGGGAGGGATAATTATAAAGAAAGGGAATACA